GCCAATCCTCAGCCTGACCCAAGCGGCATGAACGACCCAGCCAGCCAGCCCACAGAATCACTCCAAATGGAGTGGTTTGCTGTGCTTTCTCAACCTCAGCACTCCTGATATTTTAGATCAGATTGCTTCTCATTGCAGGGGGCTGCCCTGGGCCCTGTCCAAAGTTTAGCAGCACCCTAGGTTTTGCCCCTCTAGACACCAGTAGCACTCCACCCTCTTCAGCTGTGACAACCAAAAATGTCTCCAGATGGTGCCGAATGTCCCCCAGGGGCAGCGTAATGCACCCAGAAAACTTACTGATTTCTCCTTCAAATCCTTGAGTAATCGATATCCAGTTTAGGGGAGAGTTGAAAGTTGTTTTTACCCCTTGACCCATAGACACCTCCCAGATGGTCTATCCGAGTTTTTCAACCTTTTATTTTAATCTCACAGCATTCTTGAACCTATGGTTAAATTTCTATCCCACACTTTAATTATGTTGACCAAAAAAAGTAAAAAAAGAAATATACTTACTGTGCTTTGAACTTGTTTTGAACACAATTTACTTAATGTTCTTTCAAACTTTTCAAGGCATACCTAAGAGCCTGTTATGGCACACCCGTGTATTGTGGCACACCAGTGGAAAATCACCTGTGTGGATGAGCCCAGCTGGTGTGTGTGGAACCAGGCCTGTGGCAGGCAAATGACCGCACTTCCTTTCACTAGACTGTTCATGTGCACCAGGTCTCCTAGGACAGCCAATAAACAACCACAAACTGAAATTTATTCTTTCATTGTTCTGGCAGCTTGAAGTCCAAAATCAAGGTGCCATCAAGGCCATGCTCCCTCCAAGGGCTGCAGGGAAGTGTCCTCCCTTGCCCCTTCCTCGCTGGTGGTTGCTGCCAATTCTTGGCATTTCTTGGCTTGTAGTCACGTCACCCCTATCTCTGTCAGCATCTTCACATGGCGTGTTCCCTCTGCTGTATCTCTGTGTCTGTTTCTCTTTTTATAAGGACACCAGTCATTGAATTAGGCCCCACCCTAATCCAGTAGGAGCTCATCTTTATTAATTAGACCTGCACAATCCTATTTTCAAATAAGATAGCCTTCCAGGGTTCCAGGTGGACATGGATTTGGGGGATGCTATGCAACCATGTATAATCCATAAGCAGATGGGTTTGTGGTGACCATGCCATTCTCCTGGCCAGCACTCTGCAGGGCCTGCCCCCCAGCCCAGCCTCTGCCAGGGCTGTGCTGCCCAGAGAGCCAGAGCGTGAGAGCTGCCTCACGCTCATGTGCCAGGCTTGGGCTGCGCTGCACTGTGCTGTCCTGGCCTGTCTGCTTACCTTCCTCCTGCTTTCTAAACACGGTGGCGCGACTGCCACCACCGAAGGAGGCCTCCTTGCTGAGGAGGGGGTACATCTCTCGAGGTGTGGGTTCCTGGACAGATCTTTATCTATCGCTTTGCTGTCTCTCTTTTAAATTGTGTTCACAAGAGACCACAATTCCCCGTTTATATACACATCATTGCGATTTGCTTTCACTATGAGGTAGAAAACATCTATTTGCATTTCCTCCCCCCTCCCAACTCCCACATCCTTTGAAGAACGAAAACTCTTTTTTAAGCAACAGTGCACACCATGATGTGATGACTGATGTTTTCTCTCCCTCTGAATGCTTTCTTGGCTTTCCATTTCTCTCCCCTGCCAAGCACACTTGACCTGTGGTGATGTAAAGGTTATGGCAGCACTGATAAATCCCTTCCAAGCCCTCTCATTTGCCCGAAGTGCCCGGGTTCATGAGATTAGAGTAAGATGGGGAGGAGAGTGCAGTGAGTTCGGGGAGAGGGGACTCCCGGGTACAGGAAAGAGAGAAAAATCAAAAGGTCCCTAAATACAACAGCAGGGCTCTCAGCCTCAAAACAGAACTGCAGGCTAGATTTGTGAAACCATTAAAGGCTCTTGGGAAATTCAGAAACAGGAGCTTTCAAATATCTAAGAACTCAGATTCAATGACCCAAAGACCATACGAGGGTAAATAAAGATAAGTACTTTTCTTTGGTCTCTGAGCTAATCCAGTGGTGTAAGGTGCAGGGCAGAAAATTTAGAGATACTAATATCTAACTAATAACTAACTTTTAATCTTTGAATGGCATTTGTACAAAATACCATTCATTTTCCTAACCAGCATTTAACATACTGGTATAATTCAAATTACTTTGCAGCTGAATGGTTGGGATTGAGAGCGTTTTTCATCTTGGACAACACATTGGAATTGCCTGGGATTTAGATTTACTTGGTCAAGGGTAAAACCCAAGCATTAGTGCATTTTAAAAGCTCCCCAGGCAGAGCTAATGGGCAGCCATAGGTCAGAACCACTGGCATAAAAAGAACTTTCAAAGATCATTAGTGCCGGGCATATTTACTGCAATACTAAGCAGCGAAATGTGACCACATCCATCATCAATTTGTTCTACCACCACTTCTTGCACTGGGACCGAATACTTTTCCCAGTAGGTGGGCTGCTTTTCCAAATGGCAGTCCAGGAGCCCCAGGAGCTTGGAAGTGTGGATTCTAGTATAAGTCTTTGATTTTTATTTAATTTAATTAATTTATTTATTTGAGACAGAGTCTCAAGCTGTTGCCCTGGGTAGAGTGCCATGGCGTCCCAGCTCATAGCAACCTCCAACTCTGGGGCTTAAGCTATTCTCTTGCCTCAGCCTGCCAAGTAGGTGAGACTGACTACAGGTGCCCGCCACAACACCTGGCTATTTTTGGGTTGCAGTTGTCATTGTTGCTTAGCAGACCCGGGCTGGGTTCGAACCCGCCACCCTAGGTGTATGTGGCCAGCACCCTTGCTGACTGAGCTACGGGCACCACCAAGTCTTTGATTTTTAGCGTGAACTATTAACCCTGCTGGACCTCAGACAGAATAGTGTCTCCCTGCCTCTTCCACAGTGCAAGTTCCCTTCCTAAGCTTCTCTTCCCTATGTTTTGTGTTTCTCACTTTGACCAGCATAACATAAAACATTAATAGCAACTCTCAGTTCTTAAAAGAGCACACACTAAGCATTTCTTTGGGCTAAAGTGTGAGTACAATATTTTGGTTTAGTGTGAGACTAAAATTAATAAAGAAATATGTTTGAATGCTCAGAGGGAGACAAGCAAGGGTAGAAAACACATAAAGAAGTTCAGTGTGTGGATCCTCAGGATCTTACCAGGGTCGGCAAACTATAGCCAAAAGGGCAAATCTGGCCCCTCTTTTGTTTTTGTAAGTGAAGTTTTATTGGTACACAACAATACTGTTTAAGAAAAAAGCCCTATTATCCATGGCAGAGTTGAATAGTCATGGATCATTTTTGTGACTGGCCTACAGAGCTTAAAAAATTGAGTATCTGACCCTTTACAAAGAAAGTTTGCCAATACTGATCTAGACAAACTAACAACAATGACAGATAGATAGATAGATAGATAGATAGATAGATAGATAGAAGTAGATAGGTAGGTAGATAGATAGATTCACCTGTCCATCCTTTCCAGAAATGTTTATGTTGCAGGCACTATACCAGGCTCTGGGGTATGCATTTGTATAAAATAAAGAGGATTCCTCCCTCCTGTGAGGCCCAGGGCCCATTGTTCTTCCAGCCTGAGCAATAACTAAGCACCTAAAGGGAGGTGTGTGCAATAAAATCAAAAGAGAAGAGAATGTTTGAGACCAGACAGATTCATGGGTAATTGGAATCACTTATAAATGGACAGGATTTGAATAAAGGGGCAGGAAAGTCCAAGCCATGGACAAGGGGCAGCAAACACCAATTTGGCTAACTGTCAGATACATGGAACAGCAAGGGAAGAATGGCCTTATCTGTTCATTACTTGTCTTCCATGCTGGAGTCAAAGTCTTGTGAGGCTGTGGACAATGTCTGTGCTGTTCACCTCCATTTTTAGCATTAAGCCAAATGTGTGGCATACAGTAGGTGCCTGATAAGCATTATCTGAAGGAATTAAACAATAGGTGAATAAATAGATATCTTGAGTGCTAGACTAGACAGCTGTCAGTGAGATGAATCAAGCATTTCAACCATTGTAAAATGATCTCTGATATTATGACTTTAAACCAAAGGGATGGATGGGAGATAAGAAAAACCAGCGTTTATTGGACAGCCACTACATACCAAAACTTCTCCAGGCACTAAATCCTTTCATTTTCTCAGTCACCCTTTTGTTTCACAGATGGAGGAATTGAATTTCAGAGAGATTAAATAATTGACCAGGGTCACACCAAGAAAATGGCAGAACTGGAATTCAACAAGTCTTTTTATTTTATTCCCAGATCCAAGGCTATCAGCGCATGCCCACACCTACTATTCCTGTCATGTTCTGCAGAACTATCCTGCTCCTCAGAGCCCCCTTGAGGGCACCATGACCCATTTACTAGCAGTGGGGACCAAGAGCATACATAGACTTCCCACCCAGCTTCAACCAGAGCAGTTCACATTTTCTCTACCTGACATATGGAGTTTCTTGATCTCTTTGGAATGAAAAAGAATTAGAAACTACTACAATGGACCACACCATTCCTAAAATAAAGACAGAAGGCTTCTGGCCACAACCCATCACCAATTCTCTATGTGATCATGGTCAGCCCCTTCCTTCTTACCCATGGAAGGTGAGATGACAAGGCTGAGGTCCCCTCCTGCTTTGTTACCTTTCCAGGGAAGAACAAGACTAAATGAAATGCTCATTTAATGAATGACAGTGGCTGGATCACCTTGAATAAAATTCTAGATAAAGTTTGACACCATCCAGGGCAGCAAATTAGGGGAGTATAATTAGTTACTGGGCAGAGTTCCTCTGTTACTTATCACTGTTCAATGCCTTGGCCGGTGCCTGCCAACAGCATCTAAAATTAGGACTCCAAGAGCAAACATGAGCCAATCTGTTGTCCTTACCTCATAGTAACCAGCACATGACAGAATATAGGGATGTTAGTAAACAGTCCCTGGAGGCATAACCACTTACCGTGAGAGGTGTAACAGGTGAATATACTGATTCTCAAAGAATTCATAACAGGAAACAATGCCACAGTCATCTATGGCTTGACCATTCTTATACCAAGTTACCTCTGGCTTGGGCTGACCTGATGATAAAGAAATAAGAATATTCTTATTACTTTAAGTATTTTTAGGAAAAATAAAGCTATGAATATGATCAGGCAGTAAGTATTAGGAGTGTGCACACTGGGTTATGTCTGTTTGGGAACCAAAAACCCTTCCCCTCATGAATGTGCTATTCAGTAAGAACCATTGAACAGGTCATGCAGCTAAGATAGTTCTGTGCAGAGGACTGGGAATACGAAATGAAAAATGCTATTCCTCATCTAAAGGAGCCATTAAGAAAAGCTATCCAATACTTGGAAGGCAAAGAAATGGATGGAATCTTTTCTCAAAGTCAAATGGGGGAAACCCCATCCACGAATGATCTTGGGGTACATGCTTTCTTTCACTCAATAGTAACTACTGATGAAAATTCCCAGATTTCATGAAGTCATATGTTGTAGGTTTTACCAATTACTAGTACATTTTTATCCAATTCACATGCAAATAATTTCCCCCAGCAGAAAAGATAACATCTTAAGTCACAGTTTAGTGCCTTGCGGGTTACTAACCAGTTACACACCTAACCCAGCAATTTTATCCCAACATTACCATATTAACTTGCTTATAAATAACTAGTTCCTCAGGCCCTAATACTTACTGGTTTCCTCTTTAACTAATAAGTTGAATAAAATCTTTGAAATGTTCCTTTTATACTTGCATAGAAATCAGTTTACCTTTTTTGAAATTGTACTTTAACAGTGCTCAAAGTTGAGGGTCTTAGTGATGGTACAAAAGAAAGAAGAAAATAGATTAGCAAACAGTATTTTCTTCCTGAGGGTGAAGGAGTCTGGAACGCAGTTTCCCAGGCTGGCACTGTGCACGTGAGACTGATGTCAGCACAGAAACTGAGCTACACTTTCTCCCTCAGAAGTTTTCATCCTTCCCTTGAGATTGATCAGGATGTGCCTTTGAGCTAATCTGGTAAAAACCCCAGGAATTTCATCTACCCCTGGGGAATTTTTTCTCTCTTACTATTGGGGCAGGAAAGTTTCCAGTGCGTTCCAAAGAGTCTTCTCTTTTTAATTTTTTTTAACTTTTTGTAGAGAAAGGATCTTGCTATATTGCCCAGGTTGATCTTGGACCCTGTTCTCTCAAAGTGATGGGATTACAGGCATGAGCCACTATTCCCAGCCTAAACAGCTTTCTCATTGCCTTTCATGTCACTGAAAATTTGTCAAAATGTACCATATATACAGGAAGGAAAGGAAAGCCCAGTATTTGGAAACTGCCCCTTTCTAAATTCCTTCCAGGAATGTTCTTGTGTTCCTGTTTTATTTACCACATGATTTTTTGACAAGCAACCCCAGAGAGCACTAAGATAAGAACTCCGTATTGTTCTAAGGCTATAGAAAGAGGAAAGCCAAAAGACATCAGGAGGGGACGAGACAAAGTCGGGGAGGCCTGCACCAGGGGCGGGGCCTGAGAACAGTCCGTGTCCCTGTCTCTTTCTCTGTGTCTCCCAGCTGGGCCACCTCTGCAAAGAACTTTGGGCTCTTCCTCCTTGTCTCCTCCTTGGATAGGTGCCCAGCTGGCTGTCCTTCGGGGTAGGAGCAGATGGACCCACACACAAGGATAAATCCTTCTCCAGTGGCTGCTTGGCAGAGCCTCTTACAGACTCGACCACCAAAAGTGGGCTTCTCTGAAAAATCACCAGAGAGCTGATTGTAATTCGTTTCTGCCTGTGTCCCCCTTTCAGGTAGTTTTATTAGATTCCTTTTTAGGAAGCATTTAATTGCTCCTTTTTAGGTGTATATGATTTTTTTTTTTTAATGAACTATGTGATAGAGCTGGGCCTAAGGAACTAATTCTGAGCCGTGGACTCCAGTTTTTCATTCAGACTCAGCGGGGCTGGTTGGTTTCCCCCCAGTTTCCTAGTGGCTGACTGGTTTTTTCCCTCTATGCGGTATAGATCTGAACAATCAGCCAGAAATGACACTCGCATAGGGAAGTGGTATCTTGTACCTTGTGGGTGGTTCTCTTTTCTCCCTGCACTTGCTGGAAACCTCACCTGAAAATCCTCCCCTTGTTTTTTTTTTTGAACCTACCTTTGGCTCGGCTATTGAGAACCACCTCCTAAAGGTTTCAGAAGTAGCTGGCAAACATGTGGGTGGTGGGCAGCAGCCAGATACAGGGCACATCCAGACACATGGGGGCTCTGCTGTAAAGACTCAGTCAACTCGCACCTCTTCACCTGTCTGAATGACCATCAACCATGTGAACAAAGGAAGCACATGGCTTGTGTAGTTCTACACTCCAGCCTCTAGGCTGAAGACAAGGTTTTACTATGACTTCTGTTTGAGAGGGGTGGCCATTTCCAAAGCTGGATCCTCCCTCTGGACTTAGAAAAAAGGGGATCAAAAGAAGAGTTTTCTGTCTTCAAGAAACACTACTGGTATCCTAACATTCTAAAAGAGTAGAGGCACAATCCAAGAAAGAAAAGAGAACCACCCTAAAGGTATAAGGTACCACTTCCCTATCCAATTATTTCATTTCTATTTTCTTTTACTGTTGGGGGTACCAATACTTGATCACCTCTGAGTCATTTATTCTCCAATCCAGAAGAAATCCCAGTCCTGGTCTTTTTCTCTACCGGATACCCTTTGCCTCTGTTTTAGCCTTTTCACTGCTTGTTAATATGGGCCTGAAGAAGGCAAGGAGTGGGAGTCTAATTTAGCCAGTTTGGGCAGATCAGTTGAAGAGTAACAGAAGAAGAGTTTAGGACATTTACTGAAGTGAAGCTATTTATGCCATTCCTATGTGCTACAGGAAATTAAGAGTAAATTATCTGAAAAAAAAAATAACCAATGTGAGAGCAGCCTAACCCAGAACCACAACGTAAAGTAGAGATTGCTAAACTGTGTCCAGGAAGTCACTTGAAGAAATCTCGTAGAAAAAAATAGAGAGGGTTTAGTTGCTTCATCAATTACTCAGAAAAATCTACCAAGGTAATTTTCCCAAATGATTTTTTTTATTTGTTTGTTTTTCTGTTTTGGGGTAGGGGCGGGGTGTTGAGACAGAGTCTTACTCTGTCGCCCTGGGTAGAGTGCCATGGCATCATAGCTCACAGCAACCTCAAACTCTTGGGGACAAGTGATCCCTTGCCTCAGCCTCCTCAGTAGCTGGGACTACAAGCACCCGCCACAACACCAGGCTATTTTGTAGAGACAGAGGTCTCGTTCTTGCTTAGGCTGTTCTCAAACTCCTGAGCTCAGGCAATCCACTCACCTCAGCCTCCCAGAGTCCTGGGATTACATTTTTGAGCCACTGCACCCCCCCTCCAACCCCGTGATGTTTTAATAGTGCATTTATGAGCCAAGAAGCCCAGTCTGCAGGGAGATTTTGGAGGTGATCAGCTAGCCCAGGGATGGTTACCAGATATTATGCAGCGGAGCATGACGTCTGACTTCTCAGGAACATTCTGGGAAAGCAATGTAGATAAAAAACACAGCGTGCGCCTCTCAGGCCTTCCTGAGTCTGTCATCCTTTCATGCCACGTGAATCTGAAAAATAAAAATCCCCAACACTACCATTTATTCTAGGATCTCTGATCTTCTTAGGCATTCGAGAAAGCACAGGTACTCTGTTGGTTCACTTGCACTCAAGCCTCGGGCAGCCCTTCCCAAGCATGGTGCTGCTGGCATTTGGGCCAAATCCTGTCAAATGTCCCCTAGCAGGAGGGGACTTGAGGACCACTCCTCCAGTAGTCGGAAGCAGATCTCAGAGCAGCCAGAACTCAGATTGAGAGGGAAGAATCCCACCAACCGATAGCAAGTACCATCTCCTCTCATTCCCATCTCCTTCTCTCCTTAAAGTCTCCTCACTCTGTGCTAAAAAGGTGTCTATGCATCTTTGCCTCTGAAAAAGAGGAGTGGATTGCCTTTAAAAGACTGTCCAGGTGGGAGATATTCTGAAATTGAGAAACTCCTGCTCCTCCCAAGCACCAAACAGGTGCCCCAGGGGGAGACAGCATCTACACTCACGTTTTTGAGCAAGCTCAAATTCACTGATACCACCGGGCACCAAACACCTGATTAGTCACCAGAGATGTTCTTCCATTCAGTGTGCTTTAAACTACTTACAGGATAGTTATTAATGCCTCCTGCATTTTACAAATGGGGAATCTGAGGCTCGGAGAAGTTCAACAACTTACTCAAAATCACATAGCTCAGGGGGCTGCCACCCTGGGGCCAGCTGACACCTTCAGCATGGAAGGTGCCCCTGTAGCTGCAAAGTGCACAGCTTACACAGCTGTATGGAAGACCCTCTCCTCTCTCCTCTACCCAGCAGATACGTGCCAGTGCCACTCAGCTACACCCACCCTTTGGGGGACCCCAAGCTTGGAAATAGCATTGAGCCCTATCCAAACAGGAGTACCTCACTTATTACTGTACAGAGCAGCTCTCCCGCATCATGGCGCCCAGGGAAAGGAAGGGGCTGTTAGCACAAACTAAGAGGGGTAGTGAGGACCAGGAAATTGTGCATCCAGGGATACTGAGGGCCCTGCAGCAAAAGCCTGAGCTGAGAGCTCTTGGGAGAGACAAGGTCAAAACAGTTGACTTGTAGAAGGGGACACCCATTTCCACATGGGTGTCAATAATAACTTCACCACTTAGAACCAATCCGTCCCTATTTTCTCCCACTTTCCAGTTTGTCTCAAGCACCCTGAGAATTGGGTCACCAGGGACAAGTTCCCTGACAAGTACTTCAAGGTTTCAGCAGCACCTAAAAATCTTCTGCTGAGCAGCAGTGGGTAGAGGCAGAGGAAGCCTAGGTGAGAGCGACACTGGGGGACTTCTGCCTCAGTAGCAGGATCAGCTACATTATTTGCAGGGCCCAATTCAAGATGAACAGGAGGGATTCCTTGTCCTTCCTAAGAGGGTGACAACAGAGCATTAAATGAAGATAATAGATTTTGGCCCATGAGGCAGGCCCTGCTTGGTAGACAACACCCTTAGAACATTCTGCCCACAAATGCCCACTCCTGGAAGTTCCCATAGTATTCCTTCATCTCAAGATGTTCTGTTTAGAAATAAAGTGGAAATTATATTTCCCAAAAGCATTTCCGAACTGCCCCTATGTGAGAAACCCAAGCTCTCTGACTTTCAAGGTAGAAAATATATTCATTTTGAATACACTGCCTTCTCTTCCTCAGCAAGAGTGTGTGCAGGAAGCAACTTCACGCTTAGACCTAAGATTAAAGGAATTCACCGAACTGGTAGAAAAAGCTGCAGCTCTTTGACTTTACCAAGTTGAAATTACACGGTAGCATCAAAAAGGAAGAAAACTGCTTGAGTGTGGGGCTGAGCACATCAGCTGGGAGGGAGGATTGAGACAGGAGTTTGGGGAATTGGATGGCTGCTGAGACAGGCGTGGAAGACTGAGGGAGAGAGATTGTAAAGAAGATTTTTTTTTTTTTTTTGCAGTTTTTGGCCGGGGCCGGGTTTAAACCCACCACTGGTATATGGGACCAGTGCCCTACTACTTTGAGCCACAGGTACCGCCCATGAAGAAGATTTTAAGAAAGTGTGCTTTGTGGTCATGAATTTGGACCTTTTTGATGTCCTTTAACAAAGACTTGACCCACATCTCCAATGTTTGGTTACAGGACTTCTTAAATACAGCTGTGCAGAGCCTGGGCCACAGGGAGTCCCTAGTCAATAAGCATTGTATTTCAGAGTACAGTAAGCTCCTCTCTGCACAGATCATAAATTACCTGCACAGAACAGGAAGAAAAGTCATCTGCAACCTGGCAAAGCAGTTGCTTCCATTCCAGTTTAGGTTACAAGTACATTTGGTGGTATTAAAAGCCAAGATTTAACACATATTACTTACAAGTCATAATAATGTGTAATGGAAAGTTCCAATCTTTTTCCAACTAGATTGAAAAAAGCATCTATAAAAATAGTCAAAAGGACAACTTTTATGATACCCAACCTGCCCAAGAGTGAAAATGTTTAAAGAAAACTCGGTGAGGCTCGGCACCTGTGGCTCAAGTGGCTAAGGCGCCAGCCACATACACCTAAGGTGGCGGGTTCAAATCCCCAGCCTGAGCCTGCCAAACAACAATGATGGCTGCAACCAAAAAATGGCCAGGCGTTGTGGTGGGTGCCTGTAGTCCCAGCTACTTGGGAGGCTGAGGCAGGAGACTCGCTTGAGCCCAGGAGTTGGAGGTTGCTATGAGTGTGATGCCATGGCACTCTACCCAGGGGAATAGCTTGAGGCTCTGTCTCAAAAAAAAAAGAAAACTCGGTGAGTGTTGTTGAACTATTGTAATGAGCAAATGAATATAACAGAATGGGCAGGTCCAACAAACCAATAACAACCAATGGTAACACTCTGTCCTCTCAGAGCTGAAGAAGTATGGGCCCACTCTGCCAAGACACAATAGGGACAAAGGCTTTTCTTTTCACATCGATGTATTTGCTTACCCCAACTTAGGAGTTCAAGGTGAGTTTGGAAGCTAGCTAGGGCTGTAGATCTGTTTTGAAATAAAAAGTCAATATTTCTCAGCATGAATAAACCAATAATTTTAGAGCACATATAAGCCTCTGGCAAAAATAACAAAATCTAAGTCCAATTTTAAATTGGTTATGGTATTTCACAGCTAGCAGTGCAAACTGTATTCATGGTCTCCTCTACTGTCATGGACTCAGTACAAGACATGAAACAAGAGATGACAAACATATAAAATGTGCCTTCAGCTTGGAACTGCCGGCTCACATGACTTGCTGACCCATTGTGATGCTGAGTCTCTCCAACATCTTTCTCTCCCTTTTTAGCAGATTGACTGAGATATAATTCCCACACCACACAATTCACCATTTATTTAAAAGTGTACAATTCAATGGCCTTAATATATTCAGAATTGTGCAACCATCGAACACCACAATTCATTTCAGAACATTCTTCTTTCCCCCCAAGAATCACTAGACCACTTACCTCCCCATTTCCCCATTTCTACTCTCTGAAAGTCAGAGAGCTTGGGTTTTTCACGTAGGGACATTTTGGGAAACATAGTTCCCACTTCAAAACATGCACACAGCCTGAGGCAAGCACTAATCTACTTTCTGCCACCCTAGATCTGCCTGTTCTGGACACTTCATATAAATAGAAGTTTTCACTTGGCATGATGTGTTCAAGGTTCGTCCATGCTGTAGCCTCTATCAGTATTTCGTTTCCTTTTCATGGCCGTTCTTAGGAGCACTGGGCAGAAGGATGACCCCCCTAACTCTCCACATTCCTCAGGGAGTTGACCCCAACACGTAGGGGGCTCTCATGGCTGGAAAACACTCTCCTTACCAGGTGGCATTATGGACCTGTGGACCAAACCCAGGCTCTGTCATCTGTCAGGGACAAATCCACATCCAGCTCTGCCACTTACCTAGACAAGGTATTGTGCCTATTTCTCCTCTATGAGAGGAGATAATGATAACTTTCTAAGGATTAGAATAGTGTATGTCAGTTGCCTCATGAGAATCTGTTACATAATTGATTTTCATAATGTAATCACTCAAGTATAAGGAAAGACTTCACTTGTTTCATCAATTTCCTTTCCTGCTGTGGGTTACCACAATAATTTTTTTTTTAAACATTTGAAGTGATGAAGTAATTAATGTGTAAAAATGTCTCCTCATGTGATGCTCAGCTGTAAGAGTAATGAATACACAGGACACGAGGCCTCCCTTCCCCATTCCTGGAGACCACTTCTGTGGATGGAGAAGGAAGAAAGGACAAAGCAAGCGGTCAGGAGTCAGGCTGACGCTGAGGACCTCGTGTGTCATCTGTGACTCCTCTCTCGGCGCCTACTTCCTGACTCTGCTGTCCCACATGTGAAAAAACTGACAAACACACACTATTTGACTCACACAGTCAGTTTGGTTACCACGTGTCTCAGCCACAGGGCACTCATTGTACCCTGGAGAGGAAAAGGACAGTTAAGTCAGGCCAGGGTTCATGTTTCGTGGCTTCTCTGAAGGTGAGAACTCTTGATGACAGATTTATCATTCTCTGCTAAACATGAATAATCAATGTTAAATCATTGGTATATTGCAGGACTTTACAGATAGCCTTGCAGAGATAATGGGTTAACCAAAAAGAATTCTGGATTTGCTCTATTTTTCTTCCTTTTCTTTTCTTTCTTTCTTTTCTTTTTTTTTCTTTAGCTATATAGTCAGTCCATGGTCCACCTTTTCAAAAATTATATTTACTTCTAATTATACAGATCCTAAATGGATACATTTGTGTCCTTAAAAATATAATGAAATACAAAAAAATACAACAAAAGTAAAGCCCTCTCTAAGCCCATCCCTCAATCTCAGTATTCAGCCAAGAGGAATGATTTAGTATTCTTTGGGGCATTTTTCTATTTGTTACATAGATAATCATCTAAAGCTTCATTGTATGTTATGGCTTTAATGGTATGTATGTGTGTAAGTACCTATGGCATATGCTTTCCTGACAATTGGCTTATTTTACTTAGTG